GGCCGACAATGTGAATTGCAGGCAGAAAGTCAGGCCTGGGCGGCGATGGCGGCAGGGGCTCGGACGGGTCGCGCTCAGGTTTGAGCTTGGTTAACGTGTCAAGCATCTTCCACTGCGCGGCCTGCCACACACCCAGCTGGACCTCGGCGGTTTTGACAGAGCCTCCGAGACACTTAGTCTCGATGCTAACGGCGATTGGCTTTTGACTTAGCGCGCGGAAATCGGTGTGGTTGATGGAAGAACCCGGCAGACGGCTGCTGATGCCGTCGATAGCCTGCAGGGCGGGGGTGGTGGCCATGCGTCCTTTGGGCCATTTGGGGTCGATGCTGAGGCAGAAGTCGACCATGTTCCCGTTTTGTGAGCTGGCAGGGAGGTAATCCCTCTGGATCCGAGCCGAGGTGCATGGCGTGACGTTGACTTGACTGCGCCTAGGTATCGCGAGCCTCAGCAGCGGGAAGTGTACAGTGGCGTTCCAGCCAGCCTCGTCATACCACTCCTCGTGGCATTCGGTCGCCGCGTCTAGAATCTCTTGGACGCATTGCAGGCTTGGGGACTCTAGGTTCTCGCTGATTTTTTGTGCCCTTGCCCGTCCTGGCCAGAATTCTCCTCGAAGTAGGCGCTGTCCCTAAAGCTGAAGGCGATGAGCTCTGGTTTACGGGATTGCGAGACGAAAGGGATGGCACCGTCATGGACTTCCCCAAAGTCCCTCAAAAGCTCCTGCAGCGGCAAAGGCAGTGTGAAATCATCCTGATCCTGGCTGGAGGCGCTGGCAAAGGTGAAGACTTTGACCGGCTCGTGGCCAACCCCGAGCTGCCTCCGTCTCTTGCGCGTGGATGCCTGGCTCGAGGTACGTGTGCGGCTGGAGCCCCGGCTCCGGCTGTCGGTTTCCGAGTGGTCGGCTGATGCGCTTTGGGAGCCGTGAATCGCCCGCCGCGGCACAATCCTGCCTGGCCTCGGCGTCTCCTCCGCGTCGTCGCGGGAGCCGCGATGTCGTTTCGTCTCGGGCGTTTGCCTCCCCCCTGTGTCCGTCCTTGTGTCCATGTGGTTCGCGGCCCCTTTGTGAGATAAGGGCGGGGTGTGGAGAGGTACCGCCCCGTCGGCCAGCGCGTCGTGCTGTGGGCAAAGCGGCGCGGTGCCTCGTCGTTTGTTGGCGCCGGCGGCGTGGGGTGAGTCCCGCCGTCGCTTGCTCGCCCCAGCAGAGTGGGGAGAATTCCGTCGTCGTTTGTCGTGACCCGGGTGGGAAGAGAGCGGCACGCCGTCAAGCCAGAGAGAGATGTCTGTATGCATAAGGTGGATCGTCGGCTGTTGCGGTGCGAATCAACGTTGCGGTACGCGCTGTGGTGCGCGGTGCGGTCCGTGGCAAGTTAAAAATCGCCGTATCGGATCAATGGACGACAGGCCAAAGGGGGAGGGGATAAGTATGGAGAAATGTCATCTTTTTGGGTGACAACTATTGCGCGTGCACCTGGCAGGAAAGGATTCGGCTCCCTTTCTCCGTTAGGAGTGCGGGCAGACAGGTGGGTCACCCTGCGCGCCTGCTCACTCTTCGCACGTGACATGATGACAGGACGTGCCACATTTATTTGCCGTGCAAGATAGCTCTCCACGGCGACAGTGGCATGCAAACCCAAAGCAGCAAAACATTCGAGGTCCAGTCTGCTTGCATGATTTCTAATTCCCTTTCCTTTTTGCCATTTCCTTTCCTTTTTTCTAGTTCTCTTTTTATTTCTAAATGGCCACGTTTAAACCCCGTCCGGACTGCTATGGCTGTCGCATTGATTCGTAGCTGCGCAATAAGTGTCACACGAGGACTACCCCTGGGACCGATGTAGGTCGAGGGAGGATCGCCGTGGGCCAAGAAGAAATTGATGCCTGAATGTGCCAAGGCCCAACAGATGTTACGGCGTGGCGCGCCCTGACGTGCACTGCAGCCAGTCCTGATTGTTCTGGCTTTTTAGCAGAGATGGGAGGGGTCTCTCTGTCTAACCGCCGTGACAACAGACCGAAAGCTGCATAAGAGTGAGGGACTTGCATTTCCAGCGAGGTCGCGTTAGCCGCCGGTCATGTACCTTGTAGCTACGTACCTCTGAACGGACCACAGGGA